TGGTGAGGACTTAGGAGTTATATACAATTTTAACATCTCAGGGTAAGGTTTTAGTCAAGGTACTGCAGAGAAACAGAACTGACAGTCTTTCTATTATCTATCCTCTGTCTGTCTGTCTCACTGCTATCTATTTCTGTCCACCACCTCTGTCTTCTCTGCATCCACCATCAAGATCACTACATTACAACACTGCCTTTTACTTTAATTTTCAGCAGTTGAATCTGGAAGCAGTGCTCTTCATCCTGCATTTTTGCTGAACTTCTTGAATCTATAAACTATGTCTTCCACAGATGTTACAAATTTGTAGCCTTTGTTTTTTCAAAACCATGCTTTTCTGCACCAATCTGGCTGTTTTCCTTTGATTTACGAAGCTTCCGACTTTCCTCCAGCCAACAGAATGCTGATTGGCGTGTCTTGGGGGGGGTCTCTATTGGCTGCAGGTGAATTATTAGTCTTCAGTCACCAAGCATACTTTAATTTCTTTCTAATTCCTGAAGATACTTTTAGGATATCCAGAATGCTTGGTTTAAATGCTTCCCTTCTCTCAACCATTTAAAAATCATGCTTTATTATTTTCTTGCCTATCTGATTCTGATGAGAAATCTATACTAATCAGACTTTTAAAAAGATCAGAACTGTTTTCCTTTGTCATTCTTTAAAAATTGTGATTATTGAAGACAAAATTATGACATTTTCTATTGGGATTTTCAGTATATATGAATGTAATTAATTTAACAATAATAATATCATGGCAGAGAATAATGCACTCTCTTGCAGAGCTTCTGTTAGCCTTTGCACTATGTTTAAGGTCAATTGAGAGAGAGATTACTTATTCCAAAACATTGGAACAACATGCATTGTTGATATGACAGGGGATGAGTGATGTCTTCACATTGTTTGGAGGGTGGCCACAATGCAGGGTGTCTTTCATAATGGGGTCTCAGTGCTTGGGTTGAAATGTTCTCCAGGAACTTGCCATGGGGATGAATAGAAAATCAGGGTGGAAGACCAGCTTGTGCTGAAAGAGAGCCTGGAAAAAGAAGCAAGTCTTAGACAGATGGAATCCTGTAGCATGAATCTTAAATGGTCTTTTTAATAAAAACAAACCTGGAGCCAGGTATTGGGGTGAATGCTGGAAGATCAGAGAAGCAGAATAAGCCACAGCTACCTCACCTTGCCAATTCCTCAGTTGATCCTGTTTTCTCAGACTGGAAGCCTCTGAGTCCTCATTCAAATAGATCTCAGCTGAACTGCTTCTCAAAAGCCTGAAAGCTTAACCAGGCTAGTTCCTCTGGTCCTAGTGCCTTACATACCTTTCTGCCATCACTTCCTGGGATTAAAGGTGTGAGTCAGCATGCTTAGCTGTTTCCAGTGTGGCCTTGAACTCACAGAGATCCAGGAGGATTTCTTCCTCTGGAATGCTAGGATTAAAGGCATGTGTGCCACATTTTCTGGCTTCTATATCTAGTGGCTATTCTGTTCTCTGACCCCAGATAAGTTTATTAGAGTGCACAATATTTGGGGGAACACAATATAACCACAGAATCCTGGGAACCTACTGCAAAAGAGGGGCCTGTGGGACATTGCAGAGGACCATCTGGAACTCAGGATAGGGGTGCAGGGAGAACTTGATTGCAAAACAGAGGTGCTGATGAGGAATCTCAAAGTGGGGAAGAGTCATGGTTTGCAGAGGTCATAGGAGAAGGTCCACTCGCCTGCGAATGAAAAGACTGGGAAAGAGTAAGCTACTCCTTCTTAGAAGGGCTAAGGCAGCAGTATCTTTAGGATGGGCTGGGTTTCAACATCAGAAAGAGCCTTTGGTAAAGGGTTGAAATTGTAGACCAGGTAGAGTGGGGGCTTCTTGAATAGTGGCATTCTGTGTAGAAGGAAGTTGGGGTAGCGGCTGTGGTTGGCTCTTCCAGGAAAGATGGGAAGATGATATACAAGACTGGTCAGACAGCCTCAGGTTTCCTGTCAGAAACAGGCTGGGCTATTGGAAACTTCATGATAGCAGAAGAAAACAAATAGTTGACAAGAAGTTCTGCTTGGTAATTTGTCCTAAGTATGGTGTTTAAAATTGAAGGCACAGTGGCCATTTTAATTGAGGTAATTACTGCTCTGAGAAGCACCCATCATTCTAACTAATGGGAGCTATTCTTTGCAGGCCTTTGTTGGGCTGAATGATCCCACTGTGGTTTTTGGGAACTGGGGATTGGGGAAGGGGGGATGGAAATGCCTGGTATGGGGTACATGTTTTCATCTCATGGTGACAAGATGGTTTTGGAGCTCAACGGGGATGACAGTTTATCAATAATACTGAATTGCATAGTCGTCTTTCATGTTGTGTATAAGAAACATTAAATATTAATCTTTTCTATCAAACACTGTAAAACATGTGTTCGTGACAAGGAGTGCAGATCTTTTACTCTTTCTTATCTTGTAAAACTTTTATGAAAATGTTCGAATCCTAAGCAGTATTTTAATCCACCCACCCAGTAAAACCTTTGTGTACACAAAGGCCCCGCTGGATTCTCAGAACAAAAGTGAATTCCGTGGCCCATCCCTTCCCCCTTCCCTTCATTCCCTTTGCCCTGATTCTTTAAAACTAGCTAACTGCAAAAGACAGTGAGATCATCCCCCAGCCAATGGGGGAAAAGATACAGTCACCACCTTCGATAAAAACCAAGGGCAGTTCTTACCCAGGTATACTTGCTGGATTGAGCACACCTTCTTGATCAAAAGTAAAATTTCCCCATCTAAGGTTCAGGGGGTATTCTGGTTTGTTTGTTTTTTATTAAGAAATTTTTTATTCATTTTACATACCAACCACAGATCCCCCTCTCATCCCTCCTCCTGCTCCCCTCCAGCTTCCCCTACAGCCCCTCCTCTGAAAAGGTAAGTCCTCCCATGGAGAGTCAGCAAAGCCTGATACATTCAGTTGAGGCAGATCCAAGGCCCTCCCCAGGGGGTATTTTGGAAGAAGGGGTGAGAAGTATGTAAGAGCTGGAAGATAGGGGGAGGGGCTATAATATGCCATTCTCTAGACTCACCCAATTACAGCAATCATTCGCTCACAACACCTGTGGTTACCTATATGGGACCCATACAAGGTCAACTCTATCAACAATAAGTCAAGGAAGGGAGAGGAACTCATGGAGCCTCACCCTTTCACTCTGAACTATTGGCTATTGATAGTTTCTGGGAGAGGAGAACAACTGTCTTTAGTTGTGTGCAAACTGCTGAGCCTGCCTAGCTCCATCGGATAGCTCCACACCCATTGTCACACAGATAGCCCTGGTTAATCTCAGTGGCTCACAAAACAAAACATATAGTCAGGAATGAGAGGAGAGATTTGCGGGGAGGAGGGGGTTGGTAGGAGTAGTAGGGAGGTATGGAGAGAGAATGGTTGATATGCATTGAGACCATGTGCAAAATTGCCTAAAAACCAAAATTCAATTAACAATAACAAAAGGAATAGCAATGGCGTAAACCAATTAAAAGTTTCTTTTCCTTCACCTACTCCACCTTTCTCTAGCCTCAAGTGTTATTGCAAACTGTGTTTTCCAGCTGTGTTCTCCCACCCCCAAACACATTAGAGTTCTGATTTTTTTTTTTTTTTATGAGAAAGAAGGGGAGAATGGGTATTAGGTTGGTAGATTGCTGGAAGCTTTGTCATATTTGATAAAGATTAGACCTAAGTCCCAGATCTGTAGAATCAGAAGGGAAATAGTTGGTAGCTGCTTCAAGCTTGGGGCTGGAGCATCCTGCTGGGTTAATAAGAGCTGTTCTTTGGATTCTGGTGTCATTAGATGGGATTCCAACCCAGGATGGACTCAAGATTTTGTTGACTTTAGCCATCAGCGAAAATTCAAAATTCATCTCCATTGGGTCATAAAAATTGATTTGAACACCTATGTTTTGAGAAGTTGAGCTACTACCTAATTTTACCAGGTCCTCACTTGGGTAATTGAAAGGAAGAACCATGCAGTGAGCTGCTGGTTAAAGCAGAGCATCTATGGCCATGTCGTTCCCTATAATGCTAAAATCATCCATCCAT